ATTGTTCTTCTCTTTTCATTCCAATTTCAATCAAATAACCTCCTTCCATAGTATTTTTCTGTGTTAATTCCAATTGCTATTTCTATTTTCTATCAATGAACGAATTGTAGGTACAAGTTCGACCAAAGGGACACTGATAATATAAATTTCAAACTATCACTTAAATCATGCCAAATCTTAACATGGCTATGGAAATTAGAACAAATTCCCACATCATTCGCAGTACAACACAAAAAATACCAAATCATCATCATGCCACAGGAAGCAAATTATGTAGCATAATTACCATAAAACAGAATAACCATAAAAAACACGATCTAATTTCCACAATCAACATGGATAAAGACATAGATAGCTAGAGATTACCTGAAACTTGGCCAGCTCTCCTTCAACCAGATTTTGAGCTTGAAGAACAGGAATGCTGCAGTTCTCAACACACATGCTTATATCGTCCTGCTTCCTCCTCCTATCAAAACACTCGTACGCACATTTAAAGTACGCTTTCTGCACATCCCCAATTTCAATAATTCCAAATCAAACGTTTTTACAGATTCACATATAATCATTTTCGTACGTTACACATACATACATACATACATATATATATATATATATACATACATACATATATATATATATATATACATACATATATATATATATATATATATATATATATATATATATATATATATATATACATACATATATATATATATATATACATATATATATATATATATATATATATATAGAGAGAGAGAGAGAGAGAGAGAGAGAATAGTAGAAACCTGGAGAGTGAAATTGACATGATCCTGAACAACAGCGAGCTGAGATTGAGCAGCAGAATTAACGTCGTTGAGCTTTTGCCTCAACTTCTCTGTAACAATTCGTTCCTCTGCTGCATCGATGTGATTCATTCTTGATTTTTTTTTCTCCCGATTTGGGGGAAATTGGACCAAGGGTTTATCAGGGTTTTAGGCTGCTCTCTTCATCGAGGGTTAGCGGCGGTGCTCCCTTTTCATTCTCCCCCCTTTATCTTCACTTCATTACACTTTTGACCCTTGTCATTTCCATTTCCTTTTTAGTTCCTACGAAATCTCAAATAAGAGCAGAGCCAAGGGGATTCCCCATTAAAGAAGTGCTCCGTGGGTTTTTGATAGGATTGTGTAGAAAGTCAACTGATCCAATTTGAATCGACCAATTTAATTAGAACCGATTATATATCCAATTGTAATTGGATCAGATCATATTGAAAATTTCAACATCCAATTTGGATCGTTTATTTGTTGGATGACAGTCTAAAAACCTACCAGAAAACAACCGAACCAAACCGACCAACATCTAATTAACCATCTGATTATCATCTAATTACTCACCCAATCATTATCCAATCATCAACCAATTAATTTGTTTTCGATTTGGTTAAATCGGAATTTGTTTTGTGTCGGTTTAAAAACGTATTAACACATTAGGTGGACGAGTATGATCTAAACATTTTGTTTCATTACTGGAAAATTGGATTGAATTAACACATTAGATGGACGGTCTGGTCTGATCTGATCATCCATTGGATGGCGGATGAATCTGAACCGATCCAGTTAATTTTGTTGGATCCAATTCAATCCACCGGATATCTAATAGATGAAATTGAACTGATCTAATCATTTATTGGGTTGGATCTCTTGTCCAATGTTAATCGGATATGATCGGTTGGTAAAATCCAATATCTAATGGATTATTGTATCGGTTCGGTTACCCTTACATCCGATAAATGTTAACCAATACAAATGCCTAATTTTTGGCATTGTATTGGTTCACATTTTTGTAAAAGTAAAGTTTAATTTTGTTCCTTAACATTTGCAATTTCTAACGGATATCATCTATAAACTTCAAAAACTCGGATTTGGTCCCTTATGTTTGTCAATTTTCAACGGTTTTGGTCTCAATGTCTAACGATCGTTAACTTTCTCTGTTAAATCCAATAAAATAATAGATATTTTAGTAATTTTCACTATTTTCATTACATTAAAATAAAATATATAAAACATATATTACAGTTTTAATTGTAAAACAAACAAAAGAGAAAAAGTAAAAGCGAAAGGTGGACGTTATCATTTTTGTTTTACAATTAAAAATATAATATATTTTTTAATTTTAATATAAATTTAAGAAAAAATAATAAAAATGACTAAAATACACCTCATTTAGCTTGATTTAACGGAGAAAAAGTTAACGATTGTTAAACAGAGGTATTAAAACCTTTGAAAGTTAACAAACGTGAGGGACCAAATCAGAGTTTTTAAATTTTAGAGACAATATCCGTTAAAAATCTGCAAATATTAGAGACTGAAAATTAAACTTTACTCTTTTTTAATGCTTGATTTTTATTAACTAATTATATTAATTTGATTTTTTTAATGATTGATTTATATCTAGTGAAAATATTGTATTTTTATGTTTTAAGTCTTATTATTATGATATTTAATATTATTGTTTTTAACCACAAGGGTGGTGTCTGATTGGTTTGAGTTTGGCTCCAAAGATCAAAAATACCTGGAGGTCCCATGTTCAAATCCAATGATGAATAAATATCCCCTTGTGGCCACGGAAGTTCAAATGCGGTGACTTCAGGTTATTTGCAAAGCATGTGGTCGTCCTGAAATTAGTCGGCTTGCATAGCGGATTAAATATCCAGATTAATAAAAAAAAACATTATTGTCTTTAGAATTTCATCAATCATTATGTTGTAATTTTAGTTGTTGTAACTAATAGTCAAATTTAATTAGTTTAATAAAATAAATAATTTTTTTTCAACATATATATTAATAACAGGTAAATGATGGGATACAATTATATTATTATAAACTAACGAAAGAGCCTTTAACCTAGCGGTATATGAGTTTTTAGTTTTTTAGTGGGTTAGGGGTTCAAACCTCACTAAAGGTGAGGATGGTATTAAAGTTTATTTGTTTTATTTGTCGTATATAAATATTATGTACTTAAAAAAAATTGGTTTGTAAGTTTATGAAATATGTAGGATAAAAAAACTGATATAACAAAATCATGAACCTATAAATCATGTTCATGATTCATAACTATGGATGTTTAAAGCAACATAAATAATTTAATTTCATTTATAGTTGGTCTTTAAGAATAAAATGAGTATTCAAACATTTTTGATGAATTAAATTTATCTATATTATTTTATAAAGCATTTGACAAAAACTCTTAAAAATAATTTTTTATGCATGAATTACTGTATATTGATGCATATTACTTAAAATTCAAGATTACAAGTAAATTATGCATAAATACAATTTATTAAAGCTCTATGTTTGAATTCGTGTAACTAACTGTGGATAAACATAATCAAATAGAGGATAAACATCTCATTTTAAAATATAAAACATCTAAAATATAATTAGGATTCTATACTTATTTTATAAAGCATTTGATAAAAAACAACTTTTTATACATGAATTACTGTATATTGATGCATATTACTCACAATTCAAGATTACAAGTAAATTTTGCATAAATACAACTTATTAAAGCTCCATGTTTGAATTCGTGTAACTAACTGCGGATAAACATAATCAAAAGGAGGATAAACATCTAATTTTAAAATATAAAAAATCTAAAATATAATTAGGATAATTATCGAGTTCTAACAAAATAATTAATAATTATCTTTAAAAAAATTATATTATTAAATCAAATATAAATTACTTCGTTATTGAACCTAAATTGAAATTATAATAAAAAAATTGAGTTAGAATGATTATCCTGATTATACATCAAACTTTTTTATATTTAAAATGAGATGTTTATTCATATTTGATTATGTTTATCCACTGTTAGTTACACAGATTCAAACATGGAGCTTTAATAAGGAGGTGCTTGAGATTGCTTATTTAAAACAACTTATGTTTTTTTGTAAAAGTATTTATTAACTTGAGTGGTATTAAACCGAAGTTTTGTAAAAAGTGTTTGGATTAGCTTATAACGGTACCAAAAAGTAATAAGCTGATAAATTGTTTTTTAGTGTTTGGCAAATTTTGCTTATATATGTAAAATGACCAAAAATGACAGTCTTTCATTTATAATAATATCTTTGACAAAAATTTATATCAATAAGATTTAACACAAAAAATAAAAATTTTAAATAATTAATTTGATATTAATATCGATATATTTTTATCAAATTTTTATGATATCTTCAAATTTATATTTTATTCAAAAATAAAAACATCATTGTTTTTTTCAAAATCACATAAAACCATATTATAACATCGACTGAAATAAAGAATAAAATAAAATATTAAAATTAAGATGTATTTTGCTGCATTGCGCGAGTACTCTTCTAGTTAAAATGAAATTGGTAAATAAAGATGTATAATTTACTTCTATACGTGTCGATAATACAGTATAAGCAGAAGTACATTTTGTTAAGATCAATCACTTAGGGAAACCAACCTCCGCCAAGAAGAATTTCGATACCCGCCAAAAAAATCCCTATAAAAGTCCTTACGGAGAAAGTTCATTGCCAAGAAGAAATGGTGTAAGCAGAAGGGACGGTGTGAATCCCTTGTTGACCTGCTCAACAAACGTAAAAAGTGGACTGTTGTTATTACCACGCTTACTACCAGTCGTTTTACAAGAATTTGCACTTTGGAAATTATCGAAACTTGAGAAAATCTCAAATATTGTTTGAAAGTCCGTCTAAATTCTAAAGAGATGAAGTTTTTAACATATGTTTGTTGTCACGATTTTAATAAATTATCCTAACATATTTAAATATGGAGTATAAACTAATAAGATACGAAACATTTGGAACACCGGTTTTATTATGTACGCACCAGAAGACGGCTCAGAGCCTCGAGCGGGTCCCATACATCCGCTTAACTTAATCTCGTAAGTAGAATTTTTTGTGAAGTACATCCACTTTGAAGGTGTTCCATGATATTAAAATCCCTCGACATCAACCGAAAAATGGGAATAAAACTCCCTCCAAATCAACCAAAAAAGTCTCACGAAGTCAACCAAAACCGAAAAAAAATCCTTCGACATCAACCAAAAAACTTAAAAATACCTAGAAACGGTGGAATTCCGCTAAACACATCGGACGACTTTGCGAGACTCTGATCCACCTTAAAAATGCACATCTTGAACAAAATTCCTAGCTCCACCACCGAACAACGCAGTCATAAATCACAGAAAACGACATGAGACGAAAAACTATACCATTTGACGGGTGTCAAGACCGGCAAATAATAAAGTCCAAACTAACGCACAATTTTACAACCAAAATTGTAAAAGTGGTAAGTCGGGTCGAATCCACAGGGACTCGGCTTTAACTCTTTAGGACTAGATAATCAAGTACAAAAATGAAACTTAAAATTAAATACGAGGGGGGGG